AAGTGACGCCTCAGGATCAACATATGACTGATTAAGACAAATCAACAGTCATCAGTCTACCCAGTTTAGACAATACCAAATTCATACCTCTCTTTGTGGCCCTGACGCGCACTGTCATTTTAGTTGGTGCATTGCCATTATGTACACCAGATATTTCATTTCAATGCGTCCATCAGACGTATCGCCTTATAGTGAGATATATCCAAAGGGAATACTTAACTATGTCTACGCAATTTCGGTCAATTTTGTGCCCGTTCACAGCGTGCGTCCGACATCCTATGGCCTGTCGTTTAAAGATTTGCTTAAGGCTTCAAATTAGTCACTTGGTGAAAGAGGAACCTTTACTTCATAAAATTCTACAGTAATTAATTTCAACATAACAATGACACTTTGTGAATGCACTCATTGGAAGCTTGCATATGGTGCAATCTNTTAGTTCAATGTCCCTAGCAAAACAATAAAAGAATAGGGAGATCGAACACATCATTTCATTTCGGAAACGCTTTCAAGGTTGTTTCCAGAGGACGTGGGTAACAAAGCACTTTCTATGGCGTGGCTCACTGAGTGTGCAAACAATCGCCATATCATGTTTTACTAGATACTGCCATCTTGTTACATACGAGAGACAGGAAACTATCTTGCAGACAGTTAGTTTACGAATTGAAAGTAAGTCATGAAAACGGAATCCGGACCTGATGTACAGAATGAAGGGTGTTTCTGCTCATGAGGAATCTGGTTAAATGAGCCATAAGAATGCGGGTTAAATGAAGGGGTATGTTGTGTGCTCAAACTAGCCTCATGAGGGCAAAATCAAACTGAAGTACAAAAATGATTGCATTACAACTCGAATCCGTCCATCTCTACAGGTTATGATAAAGCGCACCTTTACTCTAGCCAATCTGGCATTTCTGTCAGAAATGGTGAACGCCTCCAGTGCTTCGTAAGGTTATCATTCAAAATCTATTCTTTTCACGTTTTGGACAATGAATAACAGCTACTGTGCGGATGTTCACATGTAAAACCAAGAGTCATCTGTCTGTATTCATATGAGAAATTTTGTGGGTAGACAGTTTTGATCAGTTGACAAAACTAACTGATAAGCCAACACAAGCCATTTTTCGAACAGACTGGACAATCCCAAGGTAGTAATTCGTCAGACCAACCCTGGCAATTAGACCGTTTACACCAATGTGGTTGTTGCTCAGCTGGCTTTCGGTCTGTTTTTGAGGCTTGGCCACCGGCTGTCAAGTGTTTCGTGATCAAACCAAGAGACCTTTTTACCACATACCAGCCGTGGCTGCTCACTGATGATGATACATATGAAGGCCAGATGCCAACTCCGGTAAACTGACCAACGACCCCCTGTTCAGCAGTCAGTTAGCGCAACCGTAGAACTATTATTGCGAAACTTAACAAGGCGGTCTTGGACCGCCTAGATCTAGCCAATTTACGCAACTACACAAGATCTGTGCTGATTTTCAAACTTTTTGGAAATGAGTAGTGTAGGGACAAGTAAACTTTTGAGTACCCGCTTTTAGTTAATAGAAGCACCTAAACGCATTGTGTTCGAACTTGAAGAGGCAACATAGTGTACATCATTCTAGGCACAACAGGCACATGTTCCACCTGCTGGTCAAAAGATCCACATAAACAGACCTTGGTCTCACCAAATTGGGTCAAGTGATATCCACCATTTTCACAACCGGGAGCCGAACAGCTGAAGCATGCAACCCCCAGGGGTTCCGTCTATTACGTGAAATCAAGCGTGAAAATTCGTCATACTTGCAGTGATGGAAGTCAATTATCAACAGGGCTACGCTGGCTAACGCCGTCAGGAAACCTGAGGGCCGATCCAGAAGTGACGCCTCAGGATCAACATATGACTGATTAAGACAAATCAACAGTCATCAGTCTACCCAGTTTAGACAATATCAAATTCAAACCTCTCTTTGTGGCCCTGACGCGCACTGTCATTTTAGTTGGTGCATTGCCATTATGTACACCAGATATTTCATTTCAATGCGTCCATCAGACGTATCGCCTTATAGTGAGATATATCCAAAGGGAATACTTAACTATGTCTACGCAATTTCGGTCAATTTTGTGCCCGTTCACAGCGTGCGTCCGACATCCTATGGCCTGTCGTTTAAAGATTTGCTTAAGGCTTCAAATTAGTCACTTGGTGAAAGAGGAACCTTTACTTCATAAAATTCTACAGTAATTAATTTCAACATAACAATGACACTTTGTGAATGCACTCATTGGAAGCTTGCATATGGTGCAATCTATGCCCAGCCAATAAGATGTAACAAAATTCTCTCAAAAGATACAACCGTTTCACAACTCTCCTTTTGTCTCGACTAACAACAGGACAGCCAGAAGAGGCCGATTTCATTAAAACTGTTTTGGAAAAAGTCGACCGTTTGAAGCAAACATCAAATCTTGACTGAAATGCTGAGTAAAAAATTACACTTGTTTCATCGTCGGCACTGCTCATCTCATGAAATCCCAGGCAGCTGAGATCCCATGATCGCTTGGCTGATAGGTTGAACAATCGAACGTTTTTGCTGCGGGCGACTGAAAGGCAGTGTGTGTAGCTCTCACTTAGCCAGACTATGGTAGCATGCATCGTTCAACCATGGAGAGCAATTCATTAAATCCTCGAGTGACGATTTCTCAGACGGAAGTTTATCTTATTTTGTGCATATTATTCTCCCTCTTAGTGGCGTACTATTTGTTGGTTGTTTGGGGTTATTTACGAATTTCCACTGAACATTTCATCGCAATAAGGATGAAGCGGATGCAAAGCGATTCTTGGCTTCTCAGTATAATGTCTGCACTTATAGGAAAAAAATTCAACAGGGAATGTCGAAGTGCGTTTAAAAGTTCGTCACGCATACTCAGAGTTGACGCAACGTGCGCACTGGACTATCAAGCTTCTAGGCATGAAATAAGTGGCATCATTAAAACGATATTTTCGGTATGTCCAACGGATGGTCCGTTCCAGGATCGGTAAATGATGCGAACGATTAGCTGGCCGGGATCTACCAGCCCACCATGTTGAATGTGGAGTCCAGTAACCCACCATCATACAAGCACTCCAAGTCACAGGTTGACGAAGAGGCTCTATCTGTTGTGGAGTGCTGGCCAAGACTGACAAATAAAAGTTACGAAATCGATCTGCCCTGGAAAATGTATTTGCCGAGCTTGCCATCAACGTATTGCTCTTCTTGTCAAAGTCTCGCCCCCTTGGTAAATAAATTAGGACAGTCATTTCCGCGACCTCCCCGTCACAGCCATTATCGAACATAAGGTCAAATGAAATGCTGAGCAAGTTAATCATGACTAAGAAGGCGAATATGCTTGCCAGGATTGGGACTTGACACACCACCCATTGGCCCACCCTCACAAGCCGAATAAGGCTGATGGCCATAATACACTTATTGGTGGAAAAATGAAAAAAGTGCACTTGAAGTTACCTCCGGCTCGAGCAGAATACAGTCAAGGACGAAAGGATACTCAAAACGTGGGATATCAATAGTCATTGGGGATGCTGACCTGATTCACGTCAACCACATTTACCAAGTGCCTCAGGCCAGGGTGATATGAACAAAAAGTAGAGTGACTGAGTGACTGATCAGTTAACCGGCTGAATATCCACAACCTTGTTTTATTCTGGACTGTTGCCTCCTCCTACGAATCATTAGCGACCAGCAACTATTGTTCTTATTTGTTCTAAATAATCATAACCGATTATTATAACACCGCTGGGCTTCTCTGCTGCTCGTCCTCCGGGGTTTTTTCTCCCACTTAGGGTCTGTTTACTCTCTGTTTATCAGTCCCAAGATTTTATTGCCTGTCCGCGATCGCTTGCAGTTTCCTCTCTACAGTGCCCATTTCGGAGAGTCTGTTTGAACGGAAAGATAGTTCTCCTGGGATCGAAACAGGAACTCTACGGATTGTAGATTTTCGCGGCATCCAGACTTCCCATTGAGACTCAATGTTACCTTTAAACGGACCTGGACACACATTCTGATCTAACATGTAGCCCGTGCTGCCACGTCACTCTGTCATGTAAAGATTGCAGACAGTCTCGGCTACCTCCCGAACTTACTGTGTGCCTTCTGCGCTGTTGCCGCTCTATACGGCTTATCTACATTGTCTGTGTGCCCGTATCTATCTCTGGTTCTGCTCCCACCGATTGCACTGTCGTGCGTGAAGGTATCGGATTATGCGTAGTTTTCAATGCAGTATTAATTGGTACTACTGCCTACTGAACACGAACTGCCTATAATCCAATAACTCCAATCCTCCTGTTAAATACTTAGCCTCCCCAAACTAACAGCCGTATTGTGCAAGGAGCTTCTCCATAGATAGCCACCTGCTTTCATTCGCACGGCACTGCTCAACGGATCTTGCGGTCGACTTTGGCTAGAACTGATTGTTGTAGATTGGTTTTTACAATCCAGTAACGTGACTAAACGGTCAGCTAGGTGAATATATTGTGGAGACCAATAATCCCGACAAATGCACTCATTTGTGTATCAACTGGGTTTTTCACGGGAGACTCAAGCGAGTAACTCGTTCATGATAGTCTTCCGTGGAAATCCAGTTGATTCAAAAGTGAGTGTATTTGTCGAAATCTACCCAATGTAGGTTCATGTAGAACATAAATTTGACGCAAAATTGGGGACTGCCCCTGCCTGATGAGCCTGAGGAAGAAGGACGAAAGCAGTGGTGAGCTGCTGAACAGTATCCAGCAACCTTGTGAGTAGTTTCTTTAGGAGACGACCAAATTTAATTCAAATGCATGCAATAGCTCCGAAGAGGCGTTCGGTGAGAACATCTTGCGGTGAATTATGACAAACTTCTAACGGTGATTTGGAGAGAGAACTAAGAATTTACTAACGAGTGTAATCAAGGTCGTCAGACTTAATGGAACCTGTGCACGGAACAGCTCAGCTAATGAAATTCTGGTTTTTACGTGTGCTGTTTTACAAATGGCCTTCGGAACCAACTATAAAAGTATGGAACCAGCATGCCATCTAACAAGACTAGCCCAAGGTTCCAAAGAAATGGCAAACGAAATGGAGCTGTATACCAGCATGTCTCAATTTTCGTCTGACATGTATAGCCAGGTTTTGGCGGCTCAACCAAGTAAGTTGTTTCATTACAAACACTAAACGCACATTCTGAAGTGGAGGCGCAAAATGTATTCATGTCCCCTCTCAGCGTCTTCGTAGCATTGTTAATGACGTTGGTTGGTGCTGGAGGCCAAACGCGACTGGAATTGCGGCAGAGCTTGCATATCCCACGAGAATTAGAAGACGACGAAGTGCACAGTTTGTTTGGATCAGTGTTGAAGAACCAGTTAATGCAGTCAGACGATGTCAATGCGTCCCTGGCAAACCGATTGTTTATACTTCAAAGTATAACGGTGCTCGATGATTTCATGGATAAACTGAAAAATAGTTACACTGCGGAGGCAGAGATGGTGTGTGTTCACCATTCAACCAACTTGGTTTGTTTCAGATGAAAGATTATGCCGACATGGAGGCAAGGCGACAGCGAATTAACCAATGGGTTTCTGATAATACAAATTCAAAGATACCGGAACTTCTCGCCGAAGGTGTACTATCGGACAACAGCGTAATGGCGCTTGTGAACGCAGTGTACTTTAAAGGTTAGACTTGATTTCATTACCGTAGTTCCGTTTACCTAAAGGCTTATGGAAGTACCAATTTGACAAAGAGACAACTAAGAACGGATCGTTCCACTTATTGGATGGAAACGCAGTTGAAGTGCCCATGATGGCGATGACCGAACGCTTTCCGTATGAGGACCTACCTGATATGGATGCTGTAGCTGTAAAGCTCCCATTTGGTAACAGTACGTAAGTGCGATCAACATGTGCTGTCCAACCTTAGTGAAAACGAAATGAGATGACCAAAAGATACTGCTTAGTTGAACAGTTTTTGACATTATATAAAGCAGAAAACCATTCAAGAGCACGAATAAAATTTTCCTCAAATCTCTCTTCAGATGGGAACTGTTGGTCGTGCTACCAAACCAAAAAGATGGTCTTCAAAACTTGACGATGCATTTTCACGCCAATGATACGTTGGAAGCGTTGCTGGCGAAACCGTTCTTGCCAAATATATTGGACATTAGTCTTCCACGGTTCAAGCTATCCGAACTAAACCCGTTGGATATGAAAACGCTGTTACAGAATTTGGGGCTTGAGTCTTTGTTTAGTCAATCAGCGGATCTCTCAAAACTTTCTCCTGATGGGAATATATTTATCTCGGAATTTGTGCACAAAGCAATAATTGAAGTGAGTTTTTAGCTGACTAAAATGAGGAAAAAGCTACTTTGAAATTTGACTGTAGACAACCTATTTTTTTCTATTTGAGTTCTGTGGAAACATTCATACTACACTTTATCCTAGATCTGACAAGTGAACAACGAATCGGAAATTTTTTTGAAGAGGATCGTTCATGCTTTCTTTATCACAAAACCTCATCAAAATTGTTGTCTGTCTTTTGAATTTTCGCAACATCTGCGGCGTAACGATAGGTCCTTTCACAATGACAAATCATTCGTGACCGTGGTGCCTCTACCAAGTGTCACGAATTCAGTGTCAACATCTCGATTGGTCTCGACCACCAGACAAAACCCTTTTCACAGAGTCGGTCTCAAGCCCTTGGCAACAATGACCAGCTCATTTGTTTTGGACAAAACCCATGGGGTAACACTGACTACGTGAACATTATATCTTGTGTTTATTCCTGCCTGGAAAATCGCACAAACTTGAGCCACTTATACCCCTTCAGTTCTCCACACGTAGGCGCAGGGTATTGGTCGGTGACGTGTCATGGATGACTTGGTACACACACCACAGTTGGTCGGTTTTCAAACATACCATGGGTGCTAGAGCCACAATGAGCAACAGCGTGCCATCGCTGTGCAACCTGAAGACTTATGAATCGAAGTCTTTTTACGCTGAAATATTGAGAATTGATCAAGTGAAGGGACCATACATGAAATGTTTAACAAGATCAACGATTCGGGTATCTTCCAGAATTAGCAGCAAAATGATACTACAAAAAAGGTTACCACTTTAACAAAAAAATTCCCCGATGAAGAAATCGTTCCTTAGGTGGCTTGATTATATTTTCGCAAAGTAACCGGAATGCATGAGAGGCTGCTGATAGAAAGGTTTTTGACGAAGGGTTTTTTCATGAATAGGTGGTAGGTATAATCCAGTTCCTCGCTAGGTAACTGTCATCAGTAGTGTGACTGATGATAACCATTCGCAGTAATTGTTTTTCAGAGATTCGCTCAGAAGAGAAGCCGCTATTTTGTGAAAATTACGTCAGTGTACCTCCTGTGTGAATGTATACAGACATCACATCCCATCATTCGTCTTTGTCCCCTAGATATTATCTTGAAGTTCTGTCTTCAGATACCATTGTCACTACAAGTTTGATTTGTAGTTTCACAAAACATCGCACAACTTTTTGGTTCACTGGAGGCAAAATTCACGATTGACACTGTATGGATCTTAGCTTCAGCCTCAGTTATGTGTTGGTGCTCTTAAGTCGCCTAAAAGCTCCGCGATCAGAAGCTAACTGTGGCTATCTGTTCTCGCCCAATTGGAACGGCAGAATCAAGTTTTCAAGACCTTTAAGAATCGAAATGATGAATTTAACACTTCCGTCTGTACCTTCAGGTTAACGAGGAAGGTGCCGAGGCTACAGCCGGATCGGGCGTCATCGGTGGCAGATCAAGGCCCATCGAATTCCATGTTGACCACCCGTTCGTCATGGCACTGGTTTACAATTCTACTCTTCCTGCTTTTATTGGACACGTTGCCAATCCTGAACTCCTCTAAAGGTTATCTTTAATGGCTTGAGACAATCTTTGTACTTGTGGATCTACTTATTTTGATTAACCCTCAGTACAGATCTCCGCAGCTGTGTTATAACCGCCACCCGCTTGCTGATTTTACTGCGTTTTCTCCAATCCAGTTACACCCGCCGCTAAAGTTTTTTGTCTTTTGCCCAAGAAGTTTTAGCAGCTGGTGAAAGAATAAAAAAGCTGTTGTGCAAACTACTCAAAGACTTGAGATTTTCTGAATTTTCTGCAAATTGCTATGGACTACAACGCTATTAACACACATTCCCACTCGTATGCTGAGTGGGTTTCGAGTAGCAGCTCTTTTATATAATTTGAAGTTAACCTCAACTGCGGTATCGCAACCAACAGACTTTTGATAAAGAGCGGAGGAATGCTTCATAACCTAAGAACACAGATTAGTTGACGAAATGCTTTGGGCAAGGTTTTTTTTTCAACTCATACAGTTGCAGAGTTTAAGAGAACAGTGTTTAAAGTATCTGAATGAGCATGATGTATATGAACAGGAAATCGAGTGAAGAACGATACTGTCTACCTAGTAGAGAACACCTAATTGAGGTCACCAATACGGTGACAAAGAATAAAAGGAGCGAAATCAACCCTTGCTAGCTTTTGAAACCAGGAGGACGATAAGCAGCTCAGTAGTACGACGTCTACCAGACACGGCACACAATGTGATAGAGGCCAAAGCTTTTGCGTTGTTTACAAGGCGTCGACTAATCAACCCAGATCGGTACAGCAACGCACAATCGTAGTGGCTGAAGCTACGCCATACGAACGACGTCTACCAGACACGGCACACAATGTGATAGAGGCCAAAGCTTTTGCGTTGTTTACAAGGCGTCGACTAATCAACCCAGATCGGTACAGCAACGCACAATCGTAGTGGCTGAAGCTATCGCCATACGATATCGCGACTTGATCCTTTGTAAGCCAAAATGCTTTGTTCGTGTGTTGTACTTGCCATTGTTCAACTCACCTCCCCCCATGCATACACACCGTACACTACCCGCACTGGCAATCCCAAGCCACACTATTGGTGACCTGAACTAGTTGTTAATTGATAGGTAGACAGCGTCGTCTCTCATTTGATTTTCTGTTCACCTACACCATGCGCATTCCAATATTTTAAATATTGTTCTCAATTTTTCAACTGTATGACTTGAAAATAGCTCGGTGAAAATATGTTCGTCAACCAATATGTGTTCTTATTCTAAATGAGAATTTTCGGAACATCATATTCTGGAACTGTAAACCTAAACATTTTTGAGAAAAAATACGGCGACGTGAAGAGCTCCTGATAAGCTATAAACGGCTGCTTTTATGTTTAGTTTTCAACTTGCATAGGTTTAGAAACTTCGTGCTAGGGCGTGGTGTTTTAATGTAAGGTAGAAAACCTAGCACAAGGTGTAAAATTACAGAAGCTGACACAGTTTCCTACGGAAGCTTCAAAAATGAATCAGTTGCAACATTCTGTTTTGAAATCGCGGTGGCTCTAAGAAAGGAGAGTAAGGGAGCATATTCAGTAAAACCTAGACAGCGAATTCCCCTCCGAATAAGGAATCGTGACTAATGGGCAGACTGAAACAACACTTAAGCGGTGTCCTGTGGTATATGCGGTTTCTGTTATTTGCAGGTGATAATAACATGGTCTTTAAATTGGACATAAAGAACAACGAACGTTCTAGAAGGGTTGGGTAAAGTCTCAATTCTCTACCAACTGTCGTCATATTAAACATAGAATAATCGCCCCGGTGAACGGGAAAGCGTTAATACGTGTAACGCAAAAGTGAAGAAATTCAAGCTGGATGGGAACAGTGAGAATTTAAAAAAGAAAAATAGAAGGGAGAGAATCGTCAGCTAACTTCGGCAGGGAATTCTGATGTTTAGATAAATCCGTACATGTTCATCGCCGGTTTGAGTGGACCAATATCCATGCTGTTTGTTCAACGAAGGACGCTCAATCTTGAAATAGTACACCATCTTTGATGAGGTTGTTGAAAATCCTTTGACAAACCACGACCTTTCTTGCACTGCTTGCGACTAATCAGATGAGCTCTCATTCTTCTTAGCTTAAGTTTTTTTCAGTGTGTTGGAGTAGATGTTGTCTGTGCGACTTTGTGTTATAGATGTATGCCCCAATCTGTTCTTCCTTCGCTTCAAATCGTCGCTTCGATGAGCGTTCCAACGCACAGCGTCATTTGTCTTTGTCGTTCTTTTGATGTTTTCAAGAGTTTTCACGTATAAACTCATGCTCGTTGACATCACCATAGTTATGCGGGTACGAATATATGTGTTGCTTTTCAGTAAACAAAATTTGCTGGTGCAGTGTTTCAAAATTTCTCCACGAAACAAAGTCTGTCCATGGACTGCGTGTTCAGGAAAACAAAGTTCGAAAAACGCTGGAAAACTATTACATCCCGATCGAAGCGTCAAATATCCGATTCTCTGAAGACCGGTTCGAATGGTTGCCGCTTCTAATTCGAAAGCACTGGTCAATGGGAATACATTTCCCTAATTGCCTACATGGTTGATAGTGTTAAAAGATATGAAAATATATCCGCGGGAGATCTAAAACGACAAAAATATTTTCGAAACCAGACTCCAAATAACTTTGTTCCCTTATTCAGCTTTGATCTCCAACTCGTTTCGGGACTACAGATTTTAGCACTATTCATACCCGATGATGAATATTTTGGGCAGAAGCTCTGCATCTAGGCATTTAGAGACTATGTTTAAAAGTCAAAAGGGAAACTTCGAAGTGAGAGCTGAGCCTCATACCTGCGGTGGTTGGTTTAATAAATTGTCTGGGTCATGTGAAGAGATTGGAGTTTCATCACGCAAAATGAGGCAGCTGAGATGCGGACAGCTTGAGAACAAAAACGGAAGCACTCTGCTAGTCCGGCAGGGACACAGACACTTTGTTTTTAATCGCACTGGTTGCGTTTAAACTCTTAATAACTATTTAAGTTTTTTTGAATGAATGACACCAACTATGACCCAAGCGTTGCCCTACATTCTTTTACTGATAACCGTGAATATACACACTGGAAGGTCTTTTGCGGTTTGACTTAATGGATGAGACGATTGTGTGTTCATCAGTGATGCTCTCAATGGATTCACTATCCACCAGCCACCAAGTCGGTGGATGTCCTCAGTCATCTGACCGATTTAGCTAGCCAAACATTAGAACCATTCATGCAATTCACAGCACGTCGCCTATTTGGATGAACCTCGAAAGTTGACTAAATCCATTCAACCTTGCGATACGTTTTGCCTTCTGAACACACTTGAGCATGGCATTCGTATAAGTTCATAGCTTTTACTTGGTGCTTCCCCAACTGCTTGATCGAAGGGTTCTGATAATCCATTCATTGATAGCCAGCTTATGTGAGGCAGTAGAAGGTCATCTGGTTTAAAATCTCTCAGTTTATGCTGTCAAATATTTGCCATCAGTGATTCTAAGTAGTTTGGATTTCCGGGAGATGCGATAGCTAGATGTAGCGGTTTTTCTGTGTTTCCTTCTTGTTAAAAAGTGGATTTCCTTCAGTGCACGCGAAATCAAATTGCTGTCTACAAAGTCGCTTCCGATACTACCCTTTCAAACTTACCAAGATAAACTCAGGGGATTATTCACAAGAAGACATGTTTCCCTCAGTAAGCTGGATGAATATAAAGAACCGCAGGTTTGGGTTTTACAACTGAGTGTAGAACTAAATTTCGGGCTTCCGCGTCTTGTTTACAGTGTGAGCACGAGGAACATGTATGTATATTAGTCAAAAGGCCTTGAAAACCTTGAGTTGAGCTACTTAGCCTATCTGAATCAAACTGCGGTGAAGACCCTGGTTTAGTAACCTACAGCTACAAAACTGTCGGCGGCTCTGAAGAAGCTGTGAAATGGAGAGAGATTGGGATGCTTGTCTGAGGAACTTTCCTTGCACAAAAGGACCGACGCTGCCCAAAGAAATTCCTGACTTGCTATAGACAGTTTAGGGGACGGAAGTTGTTCCGCAATGTTTGCATGTTACAACAATAATTCCCCTTTATGACTGAAAACACTCAACGAATGACAAGAGACTAGCACTCAAGTCACCTACGATGGACGGCGATCAGAACTATGACTTTCACACTACTCAAAATCTTGGTTGCTGACTTTCTAGAAGGAAGCATCACTGGACACCAGAATGGGTTAAAAAATATTCAACTCTAGCACTCAACTGCATGTCACTAGATGGAAGCATGAGCACTGGAATATTGCAAATTTACCCTAGCATGGACAGGGTAAGTCCCTTCAATATATAAATATGTCCGAAAAGTTTATACGTACATAAAGGTAGATGAAAACTTGGACCGAGATGGATGAACTGATTTTAACTGCATACTTCACTTGGAACTGCCAACAGGAAGCAGTTTAGCTAAGCGACCTCAAGGCTGCTGATTGATACAAGCAAAATGTCGGTCAAATATAGATCCTTGATTTCTGTTCCTGTTCCACTGACTTTGTTCAGTTCCCAGAAGTCGCCGTTTTTACTTGTCCCTCACTCCTTCGGAAAACAGAGTAGACTCTAAGCAACAATCCAGGCTAAACCGTTTTTAAGAAACTTATCACGGTTATTGATCTACAAATTTAATCCACGTTTTCCCAGATAGACTCGACAAACCATACCTGCTCTTCAAGCTTTCACAAGCTTCACGATCAATATGAGCAATTAGAAAGTTTGCATAAATTTAGAGTTTATAACCGTTTTCATGTGAATCTATGCTGAACATTAAAATATCTATTTTCGTTACCTCATGTGGTTCCTATTTTATCAAACAAACAAAACTGCATTACCCACTTTTGAAATGAAAAATAGATGTTGAGTGTAGGGTGCCGCGAAACCTAGTGATCTTTCTAACTATCTAGAATGCTATGTGAGTTCTACGTGATCTATGAAGAGTTAATCATAGAATTCGTTTAAAAGCCTACACATATGT